CGTTGGACGAGAGCTGCGATGGGGGGGGCTAGGCGGGGCTCCGGCATGTGACGTGGTCACGTGTGCGCCGGGCGGGACGGCTGCTGGGCCCTCGCGCGCCGCCGCGGGGGGCGCGCGTGCTGCGCACCGGGCGCTGCACGGCGCTGCACGGCACGGCACGGCACGGCACGGCACGGCACGGCACGGCACGGCACGGCACGGCACGGCACGGCACGGCACGGCACGGCACTGCATTGCGTTCCATTGCATTGCATTGCATTGCATTGCACTGCACTGCACTGCATTGCGTTGCACTGCACTGCACTGCCCCGCTGCTGCATTCAGCAATGACAGCGTGGAAATGAGCCCCGGGGGGAAATGCCTTCCCCTCTCTTCCCCAGTTTCCCTTCGCCAGAGGCCTGAAGCTTGCAGGAGCTGAGCCAGCTCTGCAAGTCACAGGACCTTTGACGAGCAGCTCAGACCGATGCTTTGGGGTCACAGCTTCAGGTTTCGCTCAGGAATCACAAGGGCTGCAGGCTTGTTGGCAAAAGGAAGAAGGAAGGGTTTTCATCCTTGTGTGGTCAGCTGATGCTGGGCCATGGGATGTTGTGGGAAGCAGCAAACACTGACGGACATGTGAGAAAAGTTACGAGAGCTGTCGATACTGGAAGTAAAAGCAAAGAAAAGCAAAAGGAGGGAACGCTCAGGGACAAGCAGCTGTTGCAGAGGCCGTCTCTCTCCTAACCGCCGCTAGAATCAGAGCATCCCCCCAAAAGGGAGCTGTGCCAGGCAGTGTCCGTCTACCGCCCTCCTGCTGCTCTGCGTTTTCTTGCCAGTAGAGCAGTGCAATTAATGCAGAAAATGTTTCCTCTCATCTTTGTTTGCTTGTCTGAGGGATTTTCCCAGGCTTTCACTTGCCCTGTGCATGCGTGCTCACTGGCATGTGGCCACAGCAGCCCTGCTTGTAGGCGTCAGCCTCCCCCTTGTCCCCACCAGCCCCTCGGGGTCACACACTCAGCCACAGCCCCACGCTGATGTTTGGACTTGGAGCATCGCTGACTACATGAGGAGCGATCGGTCCTGGGGGACGCTGGCCATGGCAGGCGAGATGCACCCCGGGCAGCCTCCTGCAACCACCCGGGCACAAAGCAGTGCCGAGCTGAAGCTCCTCGTTGGTCCCCATTGCTCTGCAAAGCCCTGGCATAGGCAGTGCGAATGCTGGAGTGTGTGTGGTGGGCTGGGGGTGCCCCCAGGAAAGCACGGAGCTCCAGGGGGTGCCGTGGACAAGGGGGGAGGATGTGGGCTGCTGTGAAAGTGCTCTGATGCCTCTGGGCGGCCAAACAAGTGGCATCCGTGGACACCAACAAGGTCAGGCCATGCCCAAATATGCTGCCAGCCCCAACATGGTTATTCTGGGGGCTCAGGACCTGCTCCAGCTGGTTAAGCAAGGCAGGGTTTGGCTGCACCCTCCTGCTCCAGTCCCCGTGGTGGCAGTGGGACAGGGATGCTCAGCCCCTGCTGCTCGCCAGGCGCTGGGGGATGGGAAGCACTCCCCGGGCAGGAATTGTTTCCAGTAGGCTGAACCTGCTCCCATTGCTCTGTTTTTCCCCTCTCCACTGCTCAACTCAGCGGGGTCCCCATGGGAATGTCACTAGGACGGTGACACCGGGACCCAGGGATGACACAGGGATCCAGGGACGACTGAATAATCTTGACTTAGCTGTGACTTAATGCACCAAAACCTCACTCCCCACATTTACGGAGTTTTGTGCTTCCGCGAGGCTGGATCTCACCATGCAAACGGGCCGGGGCTTGCTGGGAGCAGTGAATGCCACCAGCCCAGTGTGCTGCAGCCGCTGCGCGAATGGGTAGCGCCTGCGCAGCGGGAGAGCGGCTGGCGTTACGTGTCATCCTCCCACCACGCACCAGCAATCCCCAAGACATAGCTGGTTTGAACTGGCGGATTTTGGATAGGAGCTGAATCATCTGCTTAGATGCATCCTTTTGAGAGGGAAATGGCTTCGTCATCTGTGTCCAGCCTCTGATCTCCTGGCTTTGCTACCGTTTCTCCAGCATTACAGACTATGCACAGACACGCACATATACACACACACAAGCCAGCAGACAAGACACCCAGCGCAGGACACGCAGCCTGGGGTGAGCCACGGTGCTGCTCCCTGACCTGTTGCAACTTGCAGAGATATGATTATTATTTGTACCGCTCTGCACAGAGGTAAAAGCATCAATAATTGCTTTTCAGCAGAGATTTGGAATGTGCTGCGAAAGGTTACGTTCCCCCAGCAGCCCGAGCCATCAGTGCTGGGAGATGTCCCCGTGAATCAGCGCCTGTGGTATGTTTGGAGAGCTCATCCCTCCCCGCGAGGCTGGTTACGGAGCCCAGGGAGGTGACAGCCTCCAGCCTGCACCTCCATGCACCCCATGGCAGCTGCAGGCCTGTTGTTTGGAGAAGGTGAGTCCCTCTGTACCCAGATAACTGAAGCTTCAGCCTTAAACAGCAGAATTTGGGATAGCTCAGCTGGTGTTGAGCTCCACCATCAGCTCCCCTGTTAGCCCCAGCTGGAGCCTGGTCCTGGGCACTCTGTGCAGTGTGAGCAGCAGGAGCGTCCCCCCGCTGCAGCACCGGGCTGGGGCCGTGGCAGCGGATACCCTGCCCCCAGGGCTGGCCTGGGGCTGCGGGATGCTGCTCTCATGGGAGAGATGCTCTGCACCAGGGCATGGCGCTGCCAGCTGAGTCCGTGTGCTGCAGGACACCCCACAGCACCCAAGGGAGTCCTGAACCCCCGATGTCTTGACTCAATTTTCCCAAATAACTCTGCTCGCTGCCGACAGGACCGATAGCCCGTGTAAAATTGCTCGTCTCCATCTTTGTAGGTTTGAGCTGCAAACGCAGGTTTCGGAGACAAAGGAGGAGCAGCACCATTTTACCACATGCTGCACTAATCCATCAATCGCAGAAGAAAGTTCTAATACAGGCGGGGATGCCCTCGTCGTGGCCATTTACCTTTCTGCGACATCAACTACGAGATCTAAAGTTAACAGAGAGTGGCAGTCATTTCCCAATGAACACGTCTCTCGTCTGCGGATTGAAAACACACGCCCAAGCGTCCCCCAGTCTCGAATTCTTGTTTAAGTGCTCCTGGCATCTCCTTCCTTTCAGCACTCGCTTCAGTTGGCAATGTAATGTTTTTCTTTCTTTTTTTAGCATATTCCTCTTGGGAGGCTCCAAGCTCTGGGCTGGGACCTGAGAACGCCGTGTTTGGAGAGCCTGATTATGCACTGGGGAGATGAAGGATAACGTGGATTGGGAAGGGTCTGGCCGAAAGCTCATGGATTGAGTCCAAACCCCTTCGCAGTTCTCCGCTCCGTGCAGTAAACAAGTATTCTTGGAGAATGGGTGTCAGAGGCACTGTTTGGCCTTGCAGAAGGAGGGAGATGAAGGGGGGAGCGCGGTGGGTCCGGCTGCCAGAGGGCTTCACCCGTGATACATGAGTGGAAGGGGAAGAAACTGCTGATCCGCAGTATCGGTCCCTTGTGTCAGCTCTCCAAATGGAGGCAGAAAAGCTCAACAGGGGTTGAGAAGCTTTGTATTTCGATTTCCCTTTTTCACTTTGTTTTGAGTACAAATAAACACTGAGGACTTCGATTCCTCCAGGTCCCTCTCTCCCGCACGGCTCTGCCTGAGCGGTGCCTGGCCGCGGGGCAGGGGAGGGAGCAGAGGGGTAAATTGGGGCTGGAGCACTCGGGTCCTGCACCGGGGAGGTGCTGGGCAGCCCCTCAGCGGGTGACTCCTGCGCTTGCTGTGCTGGGCCCCCCTGCACCCACCGGCCCGGCCCCTGTAGAGTGGAAACTCAGGGGCGGGGGGTCCCCCAGCCACGGACGTCGGGGCGAGTCGGCGGTTTTGGTGCGGCTGTAAGGGAACAAAGAGCAGCAGCACTTGGCAA